CATAGATACATAGACAGACAAATAGAGAAAGATAGATATATAGATTGATAGATAGATAGATAGATAGATAGAGAGAGAGAGAGAGAGTGAGAGAGAATGAAAGAGAGAGTGAGAGAGAGAGAGAGAGAGAGAGAGAGAGAGAGAGAGAGAGAGAGAGAGAGAGAGAGAGAGAGAGAGAGAGACAGACAGACAGACAAACAGACATATAGAGAAAGAGAAAGAGAGACAGAAGGGTGGAGAGAGAGAGAGAGAGAGAGAGAGAGAGAGAGAGAGAGAGAGAGAGAGAGAGAGAGAGAGAGAGAGAGAGAGAGAGAGAGAGAGAGAGAGAGAGAGAGAGAGAGAGAGAGAGAAAGACGCTGACTGACAGAAAGAGAGAAAGTCAGACAGTCAGACAAGCAGAAAGACAAAAAAATCAGGTAAGTATATATCGAAAACCTGCATTTTAGTTAGAATGTAAATGTAACGGAATAAAAATAACCTGACCCGTTGCCATGCCTCTTTTCTGCATTATTCTGCATCAGTTTCAGTGTGTCATTATCTGTCTCTCTGTTTATCTCCATTTATCGTATAACATTTAGATACATGAATAGTTCTTTCCCTCTCTGACTGCATGGCTATCGTGTTACCGGCTATTTTGTTTATCTATTGAAGCACATTGTATTTCTAAATATATTCACTTGCCTGTAAAGCTCCTTTAAAGTAATATTTCCCTTTCTTTCTCTCTCTCTCTCTCTCTCTCTCTCTCTCTCTCTCTCTCTCTCTCTCTCTCTCTTTCTCCCTCTCTCTCTCTCTCTCCTCTTCTTCTTCTTCTCTCTCTCTAGCTTTCCTTCTATCTCTATCTTTCTCTCTATCTACGAAAAATATATAGAAAGCAGACTTAACGATAACAAGAAGAGAGAAAAACATAAAGAAGGAAAGATAAAACAGACCGAAATAAAAAGAAAGAAACAGAAGAAGAGGGGGACCCAAAAGACTGAACACGGCGAGGATAACCAACCCAAGCACCGTATTCAGCCTTGCAACATACACCTTTATTGCAACGCACCGTGCTTACAGTGGTCGCTTCTCATCCGCTGCGTCGGCCAGAGCTCTCGACTTTAGGCTACAATGCTGAAGCCTTGCCCACCACAATGCCGAGGTTTTACTCACGCCACTCACCTGTATGTTATCACACTCGAGTTGGTTCTTCAATGCTGAGACCTTACCCGCTATAATGGTGATTAAAAAAAAAAAGTGCTGCTCACTTATAGCGTACATGCTTGTGTTTGTTCTACAACACTAGAGCTTTATCCATCGCAGTGCCTAACATACCACAAGGTCGAGATTTCACTCGCCTGTATTTTATTACAGTCGAGTTCGTTCTTCAATGCCTAGGTCGTGTCCGTTACAGTGTTTTATTTATCTGTCTGCATAGTTATTTATTTATTTATTTATTCATCTATTTTTAACAGCGCTACTCACACTCGAATAAGCTTTAGCGCTGGGCTTCCCGCTTGCACAGAGGTTAAGTCTTCAATGCGGATGATTAATTCTATACACCACTGAGGTTTATCCCTTGCCTGTACTTTATGAAACTGGGAATGGTTCCTCAATACCGATGCCTCGTCCACCATAATACTGAGATTTACTACTGACTTACACGTTATAACACGGGGTTGTTTACCAGTGTAGAAAGACCCTAAGCACCAAAATACCGAGGTTTTATCCCCGCTACTCACTTGTACGTTATGACACTGGGGTTGGCTTCGGCGCTGCAGATGAAGCTCGCATCGTCTCCCTCGACCAGGAGTTGCGGGCGAACGGTGAGGCCAACTTCAGGCGGAAATAAAACCTCGAGCTGAATGGAGCTGAAAGGAGGAAAAGGGGGGAAGGTTGACATGGGGGTGAGTTTGAGCTTTAAGTTTAGGGCTCGGGGTTCAGAGGTTGACGATGAATGGGAGATGAAAATGGTATAAAAAAAAGGAAAAGAAAAAGGAAAAAATAGAGGAGACGATGAGAAAAGGGGTTTGTTGGCAGGGAAGTAAGTGCAGAATACAAACTAGTTTAGGAATTATGAGGTTGAAAGTAGAAAAAAAATAAGAAAAGGGTTGTGAAAGGGGTTTAGATGGGGTTTGCGTTTAGTTTAAGAGGTTGGACTAGAGGGAAAGTAGAGAGAAATGAACAGCCTTAAGTTTAGGGTTTAAGTTTTAGACTCAGGCAGCTAAAATTAACTAAAAATAGACAAAATGCAGGAGGGACTGAGCAGGGGGTAAAATATGAGTTTAGGACAGGGAGAGAAGTGACTGGCGTTAAGTTAGGGGATGAGTAAACGAAGAATGGGGATTCGAGCGGTTGAGGGGTCCAGCCGGGCATAGAGAAAGGTGGAAGAGAGGTCGAGGGGTCGAGACGGGCGTATAGACAGGTGGAAGAGGGAAGCTGAAGGGTCGAGACGAGCGTATAGACAGGTGGAAGAGGGAGGCTGAAGGGTCGAGACGGGCGTATAGACAGGTGGAAGAGGGAG